TGCCCCCTGCTCCTCAGCCGCCAGCCCAAACTCAACCCCTCCGCCAGGTCCGGCTCCTGCCTGGGTGCAGCAAACACTGCAGAGCCTGGGATTCAGGAGTCAGCTGTGAGCAGAGCTGACTCTCACGGATCCCCAGGGCAGCAGCTTGGCCTGGACAGGGAGGCAACGGGCCTATCTCCGGTCCCTCCGTGGCACCAGCATGGCTCCCAGCTCACACCCCTAGGCCACGACTAGGCCACACACAGCTCTAGGGTCGGCACTCCACTCGGCGTGTAGGGCAAACGGTGCCAGATCAGGTCAATTGTCTAAACAACGAGTCCACAGCACCAATCCCGTTGAAGTCGAGCGCGGCGCTCCTGCGTCCCATGAGGAATAACGGTGAATTCAGCCTTGCACGGTCGACTTCAGGGTCGTGCAGATGCAGCGCTGTGACAGTCGATGTGCTTGGCCTCCGGGAGGGGTCCCACAATGCCCCACGGTGACCGCTCTGGCCAGGACTCTCAGCTCTGCTGCTTTCCAGGGGCTCAGGAAAAGCTGAATTTCATTTCCCGTGTGGCCAGCGTGTCAAGCCCAGGTGCAGCCCTCAGCAGCAAACCTGGCTGTGAATGCCCAGGGTCTCAAATGAGCTCGAGCATGGAGCATGCAGGAGAGCCTGGACCCGACTGCTGGGTGGGGAGAAGAATCTGTGCAGGCAGAACGCCAAAGCAGCAGCAAAACCGCTGACAGTGGAGCCAAAATCGCACGAGCCACAGCGGGGAAAGGACACACCAGAGACACCCAGCAGCGCCACATGCAAATAAAGGAGCCCCGGCAGGTGTGCCAGAAAACAATGGAGGCAAATGGACGTCTAAGTCAGTGCTGCAAACCTGCTGCTTTTATAAACAGCTGCACGTGATTCTAGGGGGAGACCTGACCAGTGTTGGCCACGTCAAGCCAGCAGTGAGCGGTCTGGTGTCACTGCAGCACAAAGCATCGTAGTACAGGGCCCAGGTTTCTGGCCACGGTCAGTCGGTGCGAGGTGGAGAAGAGGAATATTGCTCATGGCCCCCTAGCTGAAGCAGGGAAGCGAGATGTGCAAGGGACCCACGGCCAGACCCTTCTGTTTGCTCATCCGCCAGCCCTGCCCTAGCTATAGTCCCTTCGTAGAGTCTGTTGGCTTACAGTTCTAGCGCAGTTTGCACCTACACTGGCAGGACCTGGACTTGCTCTAAGGTTACAGAAATGTTTCTCCGATGAAGCATCGTGTCAGAGGCTGCGCCCGCTGGGATTAAAGTGGCCCCTGCCCTAGCTATAGTCCCTTCGTGGAGCTGGTTGGCTTACAGTGCTAGCGCAGTTTGCACCTACACTGGCAGGACCTGGACTTGCTCTAACGTTACAGAAATGTTTCTCCGATGAAGCATCGTGTCAGAGGCTGCGCCCGCTGGGATTAAAGTGACACGGGTATCAACCCTCATGCTTCAAGGCATATAACAAACAGTGAGCTGGGGTCAGGAAGGATTTCCCACTCCTCCATTGGCACGTGAGCACGCTGGAGGCTTTGTATGTGTATTTGCACACGGGTATCAACCCTCATGCTTCAAGGCATATAACAAACAGTGAGCTGGGGTCAGGAAGGATTTCCCACTCCTCCATTGGCACGTGAGCACGCTGGAGGCTTTGTATGTGTATTTGCTACATGCACTTAGCGTGCTATACACAGACCAGATACTTCAGTGCTCGCTTGAATTTCTATGTTGTCTGAGACAATTACATTATGGTGACACCACAGCAGCCAGTATGGGGTACACATCATTGCTTCTGGAAGCTCCTAGCTATTATTTATTTTCTATGCCTGGCTGCTTGCTAGAGTTTTGTACATTATAAGCATTTTTATTACCTTGGCTTGCACGGCATCATTTGCGAGTACTGTACAGGTTCTGTTTCACTTCATTGCTGTCCCAGTCAGGGGGAGGGTCCCCCTCAATCTGCCCTTTCCTGGCAACGAATGCAGGTCTTTCCCATCTCTAAGATCTGTGAATTACCAATTTCCATCACTTCCAGCCCCCTGCCTGAAAGTGTCCAGGCAAATGCTTCAAGGCAAGGTGAACAAAACGCATAGTTGATAATCATGAAAAAACCTGCCCTTAGAGGAATTTTCTTCCTGCCTTGTGGCTGCTAATGACTGGCTGATGTGCTGGAAAGCGAGGGTTTATATCCCTTAGATTTGTATCCCAACTCTTGCAACCATGACTGTTCCCATTATTGTCCAATCCTGCCCAGCCCCGGGATCCAGCGATGCTGGCGGCACTCATCACCATGAGTTCACTGATTCATTGCCTCCCAAAAATCACCTTCATGAGAGTAGCTCCCAGGGAGCTCAAATCATTTCCACTGTGGCAAGAAACACAAGGGAGGGCGAATCCCGAAGCTGGTTTCTCTCAGGGCAAATCCCCCATCCAGTGCAAAGGGCTCAGCCTCTGCAAGGACGTGTAACTTACATTGAACCCAGTCACGGAATGCGGCTCCGTGGCTCTGAGATTTCTCCACTGGCCTCATCAGCTCCCTAAAACTTAGTGCCCAGAGTTCTTGGCTACTGCTCTGACAAGGGTCTAGCCCATGGCTGGCAGTGTGGCTCAGCTTCGGGCCTTTGGCCAAGCAATCAGCAGCAGCGGCAAGGAGAAGAGTTTATATATTTCACGGCAGAACCATACTGGCTACTTAGCGCTAGGAATTCAAACAGGGGAATGGGCCATTTAACAGCATTTTGCTTCATCGGTTATTCATTACAAAATTATTTTTCCTTCAGACTGCAGAGCCTGGAGCATGGAAAATGGAGATTTTAAATGGGTTTGTGCTGTTAAAAAAGGGGAGGGAATGAACGAGAAAAAAATCAAGTGAAGTAGGAAATGCAGCACAGAGTCCTGAATTCCTATAACAAGCTGGCCTGGCTTTTTACTGTTTCTTTAAGAAATTCCTAGCGATCTCACCGAAGAAGAGGAGGGGGGAATAATTTGGCATCTTTTTCCATTTAAGTTGCTGGAGTCACTTACGAAAGGCAGGTCCTTGCTGCTGAAAAAGAGTTGTTAGTTATGTCCTCGGGCCGAGTCTGGGGGGGACACTGAAATATTATACGTTAGAAGCTGCCAGGAAAAATCAATTGAGGAGCAGGGGGTTCAACTGGTTGGCAGGACATTGCTTCCATTTAACGGCGCTCTTGGGGCGCCGTGCCCGTATCCACAAAAACGACGATGGGCAAACAAACTCTGTCATCAGTACAGTACATGCCCCAGGAATCACGGCCCAGCTGCAGAGGGCCAATAGTAAAGAATATCATTTCTCCCTGGGGCAGGGGGCGAGCAAAAGGCGAGGGGGCTTTGTTTGGGACTGCTTAGCAAGGGCAGAGCTGGGAGGCATTGTTTTAATTATTAACATTTGGGGACTGCATGACTCTGACAGGACCCAGACTAATGTTTACAGAGTTGCCTTGAACTGATTTGCTCTGGAAGCCAGAAGGGGAAGCAGCAAGAAGAGGTAAGAGTCTGTCTTGTAAGTGATCAAGACGGGCACGTTTATATTTACATACGCGTATTAGTGTTTAACCTCGTTTCCTAGTTCGTCATGTACAATTCTGGACTCTGACCCATCTAGCTGCAGAAAAATCTTGCCTCTCTAAAGTTGTTTGAGTGGGACCAGGGGTGGGGAGAATAGGCGGGGGGGACCAATTTTACTTGGGCCAACACTGGGATGCTGGTGGAAGTCCAAGCGGCACTGAGAACTGTTTGATATACTATGATGTGTGGGACAGACAATAGTCTGAACTCAGTTGTTGTGGTTTTAAAACCAGGTCTCCGACTCTCAGTCAGAACAGGGAGACTTTATTTACTGGGAGAAACGTCACGAGTGTTTCGATTTAAAAAAAAAAAGAGTTATGTTTGTCAAAACCCGAGGAAGGAGAGCACAGCGCTGAGTTTAAGATGGGTGGATGTCTATGTTGCTATCCCAGTCCTGCAAACTTCAGATAGCAGCGGAGACGACGCACTGATTGTTAGAAGAGAGGACTCTTGGCTCAGGCCACTGGGAGAGGACTGTGCGAAAAAAAAACCCCACTCAGACTGGAGAGGCAAATGCCAACAATAACATCCAGGCATGTTCTTAATAACAGCTGGGCAAGCGCAGGGCTTGAGCTTTGGGAGGCTGCGAGCAGACAACAGCGAGGTTTTAAAGCAACACAGCCATGTTCCAAACACCACACCCAGTCCTGCCACACGTGCGCACACGCGTGCACGCCCCCCACAGAACGTCCCCACATTGCAATAGACCGCCTGATGTAGACACAGGGCACAGAGGTGCTGAGCAGTTGTTCTTAGCCCAAGCCTGACACACAAGCAGCCTGCATGAACACACATCAGGCAAGTTAGTGATAGTGTGATGTGGACTCCCAGCCAGGCCTGACCCCACAACCCTTCCAGTCCCACTGCAGTGCATGTTCATTTTGCCCCAGGAAAGGCTACAGGATTGGGGCCCTTGTCGACCAGAACTTAAAGGGTCAGTCGTGGGCTCCAGCCACATCCAGGCTCTGGGAGAGTGGGGGCGGGGGGTGAAAAGCCATGGCCAGGGCCCGTGGGGCAGGCAGATGAGAGACTATGTAAGGGGATGAGAGACTATGTAAGGGGCTCCACACCCAGGCGCATGCAAGCACAGAGTCTGGGTGTAGAGCCCCTTACATAGTCAAGCCGGGACTTAAAAACCTCGGAGGGGTGGGATTCCACCCCCTCCCTCGGGAACCCATCCCAGTGCTTCCCCACCCTCCTAGAGAAATCGTTTTTCCTAATACAGGACAGCCCCGCGATACGTTGCCCCGGTACACATCCATTCTGCACTAAAGTCGTTGATGATTATAGAAACGGATGTGCTAAAAGTCCTCCTGTTCCCCACTTTTAAGTGGCACAAAACCCCCCCAAACCTCACAACCAATTTGTGCAAATGGAAGTCAGCTGTGGGGAAAAAATTCCCCCCTTTAAGTTGTTTCACTATCGGTCCTAGTCCTTCGGAATGTGTCTTGGACTTACAGCAAGGACGGCCCTGTAGCCAACCTAGACTCCCCCACTGGAACTTGAACCATTGCTCCTCACTCTGTCATCTGCCCCCACTGTGAACAGCCTCTCTCCATCCTCTTTGGAACCTCCCTTCAGGAAGTTGAAGGCTGCTCTCAAATCCCCCCTCACTCTTCGCTTCTGCAGACTAAACAGACCCAACTCCCTCAGCCTCTCCTCATAGATCATGTGCTCCAGCCCCCTAATCATTTTGGGTGCCCTCCGCTGGACCTTCTCCAGTGTGTCCACATCCTTTTTGTAGTGGGGGGGCCCATACTCCAAATGTGGCCTCACCAGAGCCAAATAAAGGTGAATAATCACTTCTCTGGCTCTGCTGGCAATGCTCCTCCTAATGCACCCC